ACATTAGCTTATTTCAAATATCGTTACTTATTTATTCGTTTCCTTATCCATTTTAGGACACTATAAATCTAGTACTATTTGAATTCAATTACATTCTACATGAGATTCCATGTGAATGGAATATTCAATTGAGTGGAGGAAGTGATGAACAACGATGTCCTGTAAGTTGGTTAACTTATAATGAATTAAAGAAACGTAATTATACGACAAATTTTAAACAACCAAAACTTATTCATATTATTCATCATATAAAACCAGATGATGTAAAAGTGAATGATACACCGACTGAGTACATTGATCAATCTGATATCACTCTTGAACGTAAGTTAATCTGTTATTAAATGTTATGCGACTGATAACATACAATTCTCATGCTGCCTTCATATTGGAATTGATAGATATCAAATTTTAAATATGAGACGTACAATTAAACAAGACACCCGAACTGTAATGTTTCAACCTCCAAACGTACATTCCCTTAACAGTGATGTTTACGACTAAGAATAATCAGTCTCTTACTGACATATTATATGCATCCTGTTAGGATTATTTCGATATTGTCTTAATTCACAATCATTCTAAGCAAAGATGAATGGTACCTAGCATTGGAATCTACCAAGCGAGTTTCGTCGAATTTAGGACTCATCAGCAAGATATACTTACATCCTAGATTTGATGTTCAAACTCCCTGTTTTTCACTTCAGACGTCATCGCGTTTTCTACTTATCTACTGAGTCGAGCTAGCAATTAACTCATGAAATGGGATAAATTTCAATCGACTTTGTATTGGTTATTTGAATCTTCCCATTGATGATATGACCAATAGCAGCTTTCTCCTTATAAGTCCCAAATAGGACTCGTTGTTAGATAGTCATGTTTTTCTCGTCTAAATGAACTATGTGTATACTTTGAAGCAGTAGATCACATTATTATAAAGCATTAGCTTCACCTACCATGTTATCACTCCCTACAATTGCGTATTTATGTTTATTCTCTATTGATTTGTAATTTCATTTGTAGAAAATGAACTATATGATAAATTCGTATCAGTATACCGTCAATATACTCGATTACATGAATCATGTTTCCAATAGATTCAATTCAAGAACCAATCAATTTGATGTTGATCATCTTCCGCATCATGTAATTTTTGTACTATTCCATGTTCTAAATCAATAAAATTGATTATCTTTTATTTTTGTATTTATATTACTTTACTTCAAATAAATTTGATTGATGATAACAAGGCGATATTCTAAGACTATTTCTATGGAATTGTGTGTATCTACTAAGTTGATGAAATATGGTCGTTGAATGGGATGATTGTGGAAAGTAGGTGGAGCTAAGTGAATAAGAACATAGTGAAAGAAAATAAGATTTTGTCATTAGTTGAACAACCAATTGAATGGATTTTGTCACTGAATCAACTTCCTTGATAATGAAAAAGCATTTGATAGTATGCATAGAAGAACCATATGAAACCCTCATCAACATAATTGTGTAACTGAGAAGATTGTCAGCGCCATGCGAAATACATACAATGGATTACACTGCAGAGTGATGCATGAAGGACAGCTGACAGACGCATTTCAAGTGAGGATCGGAGTCAGACAAGGCAGTTTACTCTCGCCATTCCTCTCTCTTCCGGTGGTCAACTAGATTACGTAAACCTCCATATCTCAAGGAAACACAGTATGCAATGGACAGCTCTGAGTCAATTAGAAGATTTGCACTTTGAAGATGATCTGCAATTAATATCTCATACACATGAACAAATGCAGATACTTCAATATTTGTCTGAAATAAAAAGGGCTTCGTGTAATAGTAACACAAAGAATAATTACAACATACCATAGAACAAACGACAGCTATTAGTTGTGTCTAACTAAACTTGGTAACAGTTCATCAACAAGCAAAACCCAACCATGAGCATGCATTATAAAAAGCGTTGCATTTAAACAAGAAGTAAACAATTAAACAAAATTGTGGATAACTACTATAATAATTGAGGTGAAGTAATTATAACGGTAAATACAATAAATCTTATAGGTAGATGTAAATATTTCCGAATATTACACGACAAACTTGCCTGACAACATAAGCTTAGAAATTGCTAGGAATACAACTATTTACTGAATATTAATAGGAAGTAGTAGTAGTAGTAGTAGTATTAGTACATCAATACACAAAAGAGTGAAAGGGAAGTGAATAAGGACAGAGAATGTAAAACACACTTAACTGGAAGTATCATGTAAACGACATGTAAAGGACAATTGAGTGCAGATGTGCAAATGATGTATTTAATGTATGATTTTTGTATTTTATGAAACTACTCTACTACAATTTCCATTCCGACTGTTTTTCAATTGCCTCAGTTGTCTAATTCAATTATGGTTGAATGGTGTTATTGTAGGCCCAGCTGATTTGACTCCGATCTGGCTGAATGTATGAGGACATACATATGGACATACATTTTCCATTTAAATCTGTATGTTGCCTAGGCTAACACCATTTGTGTGACGCCAGTAATAAGAAGCTACATACGCGCTGCACAGGAAGGGCTTATTTCAAGCTCTTGTTTATCCATACAGATATGCAGAATAAGAAGCAGGTAAGTGAAGCGGAGAAAGAGACAGGTCGATTTGATCAAGAATGTTTTGATATTTATAGTTAGACAAAAATAAGTTACAGACATATGATGAGTAGGCTGAGCTATGCACACATGTACGCTCATATATGCTAGAATTCAGGAATCTTGTTTTCAGTAGATCTAATTCAACAAATACTCGACTTGATATTGTCATCCCAACGAAGGTATATATATATATATATATATATTTATAGGTAGTTCATTTATTTTGTATCATCTTAGTCGTTTAACGCCTACATTGTTTCTATGTGAATATATTTCACAGAAAATTTATTTATGAAGACAAGTGATAATCTAATAGCATTTATATTGAGTGTGGTCACATTCTTCCGTAAATTACAATCTATTGATTATGAAAGTAAAATGATCTCTGTATATTATCATCAATATGGACTGATAAACAACCATAGAGCCTGATAATGAACTTATTGAAAACAATTTCTCTTTTAAATATTCTTCTTGTTTTGTTTTATATTAGAATTAGTACAACATAATAGTGAATTAGTTTATTGATGTATTAGAGCAATATATTGGCATTTGGTAAATATGACAACCATCAATTTTAATAGTAACTAACACCTGATTCTATTCTCATAATTAATCGACTGTACTTTATTGAAGAATGTGACCCCGCAAATGTGTCATTGACCTGTATACTGTTGAAGCCAATTTTCATACAGAGAGAATAGATAAAATTGTGTGATATTGGATAACTGACTTGTATGAATTCTACTTTCATTTGGTTCAATGTTTGTACTTTATGATTAGTCGTGTTCATTATTATAGTTTTCTAAGAAAGTTTATCTGTTGTTAAAACATCGTTGTCCTAAATGTAAAATGATTAGTACCTGATGAAAAATGGAATGTGAATGAGAGGGTTATAAGAGTTTGTTGAAATCCGTAACTGGATATAAATGTATTTCACTCCACTGATGAAATATAAATGTTCATTCACTTCTTATACATCATTTCCTCCGCTTGAACATGGTTTATTCTCTCCCACTGTAGGTTGTTGCTGGCCAACGGATCCGAAGTATTTTACATAGACAATTGCTAATAAACATTTGTATCTTCTGGATGATGGCTTTTGTAGTTGCTACACTGTTCTTCTTCTCTTGCACTTGTTATGGTGAAATAAGATCACAGGATAGACAGACATCATCCTCCATTGCGAAACATTTGATTGAGACGGGTTATAAGATTGACATCAAATCAGCATTTGTAGTGTTATACAAAAGCCTTGAAGGACGTATATTCGGGTTTATTGAAACCCCATACATCAGCACTGTCATGACATTTTTTATTGAAAATTCTGACTTTTGTGATAGTTGAGAATTATTTTGAGTTCCAGATGTTCTTTAATCGTATATATCAAAACGGTTACTTATTATCTGTTACATGTTCCTGAATCTGCGTTGTAACTCATCGACTGTTGACTACTAACTAACTAACTAACTAACTATCTAACTAACTATCTAACTGATTGATTGACTGATTGACTCACTGATTGACTGACTGAATGACTCACTGATATGTATTTTAGATTCTAAACCAATTTCACATTAGAATAAAAAGTACTTTTCAACTATTGCAAATATTCATCAATCTTTTTCTGTGATTTCTAATCAATGAAACAAATTCTAATAAGATATACATCCCGTGGGTTAACATGTTACACCTGAAATGTATATTATATAATCTTCAAGAAGCTTTTTAAGGAAAGATATAAAATGGCTTGCAGTTGAATTAAGAACCTATTTGAAACTTGTCAACTGGATGTACCTTCAACAAGATACTGATCAAATACAGTCGTACATAACCATGTGTAGTTACAAGTAAAACAACACCAAATGAATATAATCTTCAACAAAAATAATGACATTCTCTGACTATCTCTTCAATGTGTCACCGAAAATTTCATTTTGATTTGTTATTTCAATTTGAGTATTCAGCGGGATGGATGGTGGGTGTGGAATCACTGTAATTATTATTACAAAATGTTTTCACTAACTACTATATAATAATATAAGCAGCTGATGAGAAACCTCGAAATATTATGAATTCATATTATTCTGCATCAATTTTTGTTCTTGCTTTATTTAAATTCATAAAGGGAACTAACTGCATCAAACGTTTTATCAGATACCGCTTGAAGTTCTTAACCTTCAATCAATATTTAACATGGTTATATCAGGATTCATTCATTTCAACTGCATATAATAAAATTATAACTGGAAGATGAGTAAACGAACCTGGACTTATTATTGACAATATTAAAACGATGATATTGTTACGGGAGTATATGATTAACTCTAAACATCCTTCAGGCGCTAAACCATTTTTAAAATTGATGATTCCAACAATTCTTCCATCTACAATCAGTAAAGTAAGTCATAGTTGTGCTCCTTTTCTCAGTAAGTTTCATCGTATTTTTCATCAAATAATTCTGTATAAATTGACCTCAATATTTACGTGTTTGATTCGCGATTTCGTATGAAGAAAACAAGTTAGTGTCAGTGTTCAGTAAGTGATTCTTATTCTACTACCACCTTGATAAGTATATAGTCAAGTTGAAGGACTACATTCTCCGAGGAATTACGAAACGTGAGCACAGATAATAATGTAATACAAAAAAGCATAATACTAAATTATATAATGGAATTAATAACCGTACAAAACAGTGGAAGTGATCTTAAGGAGAATGTTTTCGAACACTGATTGAATGTGAATAAATGAGTCTAACTAAGAAGAATCGAAAAGTAGTCGGTATATATCATGTTTCTTAGTTTTCATTATTCCTTAACTGTGATCAATCTATGATGTGAATTATATGCAAATTCAATCATTCATCTAAATCAGAAAGTAATAACGTATGACTAATATCAATTGTAATACAAATACAATTACAGACTACTTCTGTTTGATTATTCTTATGAAATATCAAAGATATTTGTTGTTGAAAGTGCTATAAAAGTGAGAACGTTTGACAATTTTCGAAACTAGAGTCGATAATAAATGCATGTCCAAGTTAAAGTCAAAGTAGATAAAAGTGTGATAAATGGATATGAAAATATTATCAATATCATGTGATATTTTTGATGCCTATAGCTTCTACGTTATGTAAGAGATGGGATCGAACCCCCCTCGAAAGTCAAGTTAGTATACAATGGAACACGGCCAAATGCCCATTGACAATATTTAGCATGGTTATATCAGGATTCATTCATTTCAACTGCATATAATGAAATTATAACTGGAAGATGAGTAAACAAACCTGGACTTATTATTGACAATATTAAAACGATGATATTGTTACAGGAGTATATGATTAATCGATAATTTGTTTCCACATTCTTGTACCTTTCCCTTTTTAGGTAATTGTACTAGACATTGATATACTACTTAATACAGATATTATTGAATTATGGAATCATTTTGAGTATTTTAAGGAAACTCAGGTTTGTTTTCTAATCATTATTGTTCATATTATTATTGATTGAAACAATTGAGATAGTTTCGGTCAAACCCCGGACTCACAGTAGTTAATTCAGTGGTGGTAGTACATAAAAGAATGATATAGTACAGGAAGAAAGAAACATATGAAGAAATTTTAATCTCATATTTTAACGGGAGATATAAAGTGTATACACCCACGTCATTGTGATCAATTGTGAACCATGTCACACAGAGTGTCCATCCATTAGTTTAGATAGTCATGCGCAACACGACCAAGTAGTCTGCATCTATCAACAAGGCTTATGCTAAATGTTAGTGATTTCGAGGTCTGATGCCACGTTTTGGTTTGGCAGCCTCTAACTTTCTTCCAGCCATCCCCAACCACATCATTCCTACTGTAGAACATAATGCTATAGTAATGAAGTGAAGAGTTAATAGTCAAATGAACGGGTGTTGAATGATGTAACTAATTCATTATGTTGAAGTTGGGATACCTATTACCTATTAAGTTGAATGCTGAATGTGTCAGGCAATGAATCAGCTAATAAAGCCAGAAATATCATTGATAATTTGGTTGCAGCTCAACCGTGTGAAATAAATCTCTGAAATGCATGTTTAATTTTGACATTTAGTCATTGGTCAGTATTCCTGACCATAATCCTTGTCAGTGTTCTACATCCTTCAATAATTTCACAGTTGATTTCAACTTGGGACTGAATTTTCAACTTTAACTAGACAATGTTTTATGTGTATCAAGTTCACAATGTTATTGTAAAATTTACTGAAGGATATTTTCTGATGATCGTTTCAAATGTATACTTCTGACCGTTTACAAATCTTCATGTGTTTTTTCAAAGAGCATAGGTATTGGATTAGAACAAAATCCATATTTTCAAGAAGTTATGACTAGGTTAGAAAGTAATTGGAAAGTAAGTTGAAACATTATGATACATCACATTACAATTGCAATGATTTACACTTTTGTATGCCATTGTCTTTTTCAAGAACAACTGCACTGAGACTATAGCTTTTGGACGAAGTTTGAGTGATGCTGAATTGATCTAGAGATAGCTCACCTACTTGTCTAATGTGGTTGACGTATTTTTAGCAAACGATTTTCTACGGGATGGGGTTTCTGACCTCATATGCAACCCTTCTTCTTTACCAGGACTTGGAACTAGCAGAAACTCTAGAAGAGCTACAGGCGGAGTTAGCTCACCTACTTACAAGTATCAAAATGAGGTTATAAATTAGTGTGAGGAGTCACGAATAAGATTTCGAGTTACAATTTATGGTTACAAATGAAAGTGAGGATTTTCATCACGAACTGGCATCAGCTATAATGCCAAAATGCTCTTTAACTGTATGGATGAATTATTATCGCGCGAAAACCCAAGACATGCTATCTTCAATTTCATTGGTTTGCCGATATATTATATTCTCCCACCAACTTCTTTTCATCAGGCAGTAGTCATTTACAGCCAATTAATTCTTTCTTATTTATATCAGACTGAAGTCATGGAAGTAGATGATGTATTTCAGAGCTTTCGAATACCTTGTTTGTTTTGTAGTGACGTTTGAATTGTGCTCATCGAGTTGAAATGTACTTACCAAGCTAATAAACTTTAATTGACAAAAAGAATCTTGCAAACAAGTTTTGTATAATTTAGTACTTGTAAACTCGAAGGTATATGCAGAATCTTGAGGAATTATGATTATCTCCGTGAGATGCGTATTCACTTCTTAGTTTAGATTATTAAGGGAATGTGAGAATACATGATCAAAGGTTGTAAGTAGCTTTTATTCTGATTGTTGTTAGGTTAATGCCAGAGTTGAATACTGAAAATATCAACTTCTATACAATCAACTATCATTTCGTCTGTGCATAGTATGGTGGATCATATGTATAATGTTTATTTTAGGGTTACGGATATAATAGTGGTGTTCTGTTACTTGATCTGTCTAAATTACGATCAACCGATTGGAATCATCTATGGTTAGGCCTAACTAGAAGAGCTATTGAAAGACAAGGTTACTTAACCACTGGTGAGCAGGTAAGTTCAAACTTCTCACATATTCATTATAACTACTTTTAATGATTGTGAATATCTATATGAAGGATATTAATTTACAACGACACTCAGCTGGATATCCCAGTCGAATGGTTGCGTCTTCCTATCATGACGGAAAGTGGTTTGTTGATTATATATGTATTATCTTTACCCTCATGACACAATTAGAAATCGTTTCGACTCCCCTCACATCATGGTGTGGAACACGGTTTATGGAATTACATCAGGATTGATGGGCCTTGAAGAATCACGCTCTTAAAACAACAACTGGGTTTTTAGCCACGTCTCTGATACACAGAAATTTTGACTTAGCAGAGGAAACACCTGAACCTCCACACTCAGCAGCTACCATTTGAATGGATCTACAGGATACACTGGTTAAAGACCTATATACTCGACAGTACACACAAGAATAATTACTGTATCGTGGTTTATAGGTTATCGCTTGCATCAATCGATGTGGCCAATTGTGGACATACATTCGAGTGGACCAAATGTCGAAATCTTGATAGGAGGGAATAATGAGAACGTCAGAGAATTTGTGCGAGCTCAGCAATCAACAAACACATTATTATCGATGCAGTTTATTAACCAACCAGAAAAATCATGGAGAAGTATGTGATCAAGAATCAGATCAAAGAAAGAGACTATCCACGACTTAATCATCCAGTTCAGTGAACGAAACTCCATAAAAATCAACCATCAGAGTTCCAAGCATTCTCCACCATCTCTGAATATCATGTGTATAGGACACTAGTTAACTATAATTTATTGATAGAAATAGACATGATAATAGTTAGTTATAAAAGTCAGGGTTTAAATTTAACAAAGCATAAAAGTGACATATATCTGTTGTTTAATGAATGTCATCAAGATTTCATGATATTATGAAAACGATAGAGTAAAATGTATTCATTACATTGGCCCTCAAATGCCCTGGTACGACCGAGAGTGTGGAGAGTTAACTCTCCTTCTCGAAATGCTCTCATATGGTCACGTGTATGCAGCCACTGACAGGGTGATCCCACTCAATGCCTTCTCGCACCATGGGTGTTGTTTACCTGGAGCTTTAACCGGGTTGGTAGATTTGAAGGATCCACCTAGAGGAGTTGGAAAACCCTGATTCCATATCAGTGATGCACATGGGCTCCAGGATTTTGAGTGAACAAATGGCGTATGAACCGATTGTCGGTCAGTGGCTATCATGAGATTGCATATGCAGACGTTACTCCACTACCTTGTGGATCAGACACATAGGTCGAAGGCTCTAGGTATTGTCTCGTAAGAAAATCACCTGCTCCAGTCTGAGCACCCGGACAATATCACAGCACACACACACACATCAAGTGACTTGTGTGGTGCAGTTCGTTTGACATTGACAAGAAATAAGATTAGAATGATAATGAAATAGAGAACTCTGTCCAGTCCACCTCTCAGATCATGATCTATAGAATGTACCACTGTACTAACATTAGCTTATTTCAAATATCGTTACTTATTTATTCGTTTGCTTATCCATTTTAGGACACTATAAATCTAGTACTATTTGAATTCAATTACATTCTACATGAGATTCCATGTGAATGGAATATTCAATTGAGTGGAGGAAGTGCTGAACAACGATGTCTTGTAAGTTGGTTAACTTATAATGAATTAAAGAAACGTAATTATACGACAAATTTTAAACAACCAAAACTTATTCATATTAATCATCATATAAAACCAGATGATGTAAAAGTGAATGATACACCGACTGAGTACATTGATCAATCTGATATCATTCTTAAACGTAAGTTAATCTGTTATTAAATGTTATGCGACTGATAACATACAATTCTCATGCTGCCTTCATATTAGAATTGATAGATATCAAATTTTAAATATGAGACGTACAATTAAACAAGACACCCGAACTGTAATGTTTCAACCTCCAAACGTACATTCCCTTAACAGTGATGTTTACGACTAAGATTAATCAGTCTCTTACTGACATATTATATGCATCCTGTTAGGATTATTTTGATATTGTCTTAATTCACAATCATTCTAAGCAAAGATGAATGGTACCTAGCATTGGAATCTACCAAGCGAGTTTCGTCGAATTTAGGACTCATCAGCAAGATATACTTACATCCTAGATTTGATGTTCAAACTCCCTGTTTTTTCACTTCAGACGTCATCGCGTTTTCTACTTATCTACTGAGTCGAGCTAGCAATTAACTCATGAAATGGGATAAATTTCAATCGACTTTGTATTGGTTATTTGAATCTTCCCATTGATGATATGACCAATAGCAGCTTTCTCCTTATAAGTCCCAAATAGGACTCGTTGTTAGATAGTCATGTTTTTCTCGTCTAAATGAACTATGTGTATACTTTGAAGCAGTAGATCACATTATTATAAAGCATTAGCTTCACCTACCATGTTATCACTCCCTACAATTGCGTATTCATGTTTATTCTCTATTGATTTGTAATTTCATTTGTAGAAAATGAACTATATGATAAATTCGTATCAGTATACCGTCAATATACTCGATTACATGAATCATGTTTCCAATAGATTCAATTCAAGAACCAATCAATTTGATGTTGATCATCTTCCGCATCATGTAATTTTTGTACTATTCTATGTTCTAAATCAATAGAATTGGTTATCGTTTATTTTGTATTTACATTAATATACTTCAAATAAATTTGATTGATGATAACAAGGTGATATTCTAAGACTATTTCTATGGAATTGTGTGTATCTACTAAGTTGATGAAATATGGTCGTTGAATGGGATGATTGTGGAAAGTAGGTGGAGCTAAGTGAATAAGAACATGGTGAAAGAAAATAAGATTTTGTCATTAGTTGAACAACCAATTGAATGGATTTTGTCACTGAATCAACTTCCTTGATAATGAAAACGCATTTGATAGTATGCATAGAAGAAAGATATGAAACCCTCATCAACATAATTGTGTAACTGAGAAGATTGTCAGCGCCATGCGAAATACATACAATGGATTACACTGCAGAGTGATGCATGAAGGACAGCTGACAGACGCATTTCAAGTGAGGATCGGAGTCAGACAAGGCAGTTTACTCTCGCCATTCCTCTCTCTTCCGGTGGTCAACCAGATTATGTAAACCTCCATATCTCAAGGAAACACAGTATGCAATGGACAGCTCTGAGTCAATTAGAAGATCTGCACTTTGCAGATGATCTGCAATTAATATCTCATACACATGAACAAATGCAGATACTTCAATAATTGTCTGAAATAAAAATGGCTTCGTGTAATAGTAACACAAAGAATAATTACAACATACCATAGAACAAACGACAGCTATTAGTTGTGTCTAACTAAACTTGGTAACAGTTCATCAACAAGCAAAACCCAACCATGAGCATGCAATATGAAAAGCGTTGCATTTAAACAAGAAGTAAACAATTAAACAAAATTGTGGATAACTACTACAATAATTGAGGTGAAGTAATTATAACGGTAAATACAATAAATCTTATAGGTAGATGTAAATATTTCCGAATATTACACGACAAACTTGCCTGACAACATAAGCTTAGAAATTGCTAGGAATACAACTATTTACTGAATATTAATAGGAAGTAGTATTAGTAGTAGTAGTAGTAGTACATCAATACACAAAAGAGTGAATGGGAAGTGAATATAGACAGAGAATGTAAAACACACTTAACTGGAAGTATCATGTAAACGATATGTAAAAGACAATTGAATACAGATGTGCAAATGATGTATTTAATGTATGATTTTTGTATTTTATGAAACTACTCTACTACAATTTCCATTCCGACTGTTTTTCAATTGCCTCAGTTGTCTAATTCAACTATGGTTGAATGGTGTTATTGTAGGCACAGCTGATTTGACTCCGATCTGGCTGAATGTATGAGGACATACATATGGACATACATTTTCCATTTAAATCTGTATGTTGCCTAGGCTAACACCATTTGTGTGACGCCAGTAATAAGAAGCTACATACGCGCTGCACAGGAAGGACTAATTCAAGCTCTCGTTTATCCATACAGATATGCAGAATAAGAAGCAGGTAAGTGAAGCGGAGAAAGAGACAGGTCGATTTGATCAAGAATGTTTTGATATTTATAGTTAGACAAAAATAAGTTACAGACATATGATGAGTAGGCTGAGCTATGCACACATGTACGCTCATATATGCTAGAATTCAGGAATCTTGTTTTCAGTAGATCTAATTCAACAAATACTCGACTTGATATTGTCATCCATACGAAGGTATATATATATATATATTTATAGGTAGTTCATTTATTTTGTATCATCTTAGTCGTTTAACGCCTACATTGTTTCTATGTGAATATATTTCACAGAAAATTTATTTATGAAGACAAGTGATAATCTAATAGCATTTATATTGAGTGTGGTCACATTCTTCCGTAAATTACAATCTATTGATTATGAAAGTAAAATGATCTCTGTATATTATCATCAATATGGACTGATAAACAACCATAGAGCCTGATAATGAACTTATTGAAAACAATTTCTCTTTTAAATATTCTTCTTGTTTTGTTTTATATTAGAATTAGTACAACATAATAGTGAATTAATTTATTGATGTATTAGAGCAATACATTGGCACTTGGTAAATATGACAACCATCAATTTCAATAGTAACTAACACCTAATTCTATTCTCATAATTAATCGACTGTACTTTATTGAAGAATGTGACCCCGCAAATGTGTCATTGACCTGTATACTGTTGAAGCCAATTTTCATACAGAGAGAATAGATAAAATTGTGTGATATTGGATAACTGACTTGTATGAATTCTACTTTCATTTGGTTCAATGTTTGTACTTTATGATTAGTCGTGTTCATTATTATAGTTTTCTAAGAAAGTTTATCTGTTGTTAAAACATCGTTGTCCTAAATGTAAAATGATTAGTACCTGATGAAAAATGGATTGTGAATGAGAGGGTTATAAGAGTTTGTTGAAATCCGTAACTGGATATAAATGTATTTCACTCCACTGATGAAATATAAATGTTCATTCACTTCTTATACATCATTTCCTCCGCTTGAACATGGTTTATTCTCTCCCACTGTAGGTTGTTGCTGGCCAACGGATCCGAAGTATTTTACATAGACAGTTGCTAATAAACATTTGTATCTTCTGGATGATGGCTTTCGTAGTTGCTACACTGTTCTTCTTCTCTTGCACTTGTTATGGTGAAATAAGATCACAGGATAGACAGACATCATCCTCCATTGCGAAACATTTGATTGAGACGGGTTATAAGATTGACATCAAATCAGCATTTGTAGTGTTATACAAAAGCCTTGAAGGACGTATATTCGGGTTTATTGAAACCCCATACATCAGCACTGTCATGACACTTTTTATTGAAAATTCTGACTTTTTTGATAGTTCAGAATTATTTTGAGTTCCGGATGTTCTTTAATCGTATATATCAAAACGGTTACTTATTATCTGTTACATGTTCCTGGATCTGCGTTGTAACTCATCGACTGTTGACTACTAACTAACTAACTAACTAACTAACTATCTAACTGATTGATTGACTGATTGATTGACTGATTGACTGACTGACTGACTCACCGATATGTATTTTAGATTCTAAACCAATTTCACATTAGAATAAAAAGTACTTTTCAACTATTGCAAATATTCATCAATCTTTTTCTGTGATTTCTAATCAATGAAACAAATTCTAATAAGATATACATCCCTTGGGTTAACATGTTACACCTGAAATGTATATTATATAATCTTCAAGAAGCTTTTTAAGGAAAGATATAAAATGGCTTGCAGTTGAATTTAAAACCTATTTGAAACTTGTCAACTGGATGTACCTTCAACAAGATACTGATCAAATACAGTCGTACATAACCATGTGTAGTTACAAGTAAAACAACACCAAATGAATATAATCTTCAACAAAAATAATGACATTCTCTGACTATCTCTTCAATGTGTCACCAAAAATTTCAATTTGATTTGTTATTTCAATTTGAGTATTCAGCGGGATGGATGGTGGGTGTGGAATCACTGTAATTATTATTACAAAATGTATTCACCAACTACTTAAATAGCTTCATCAGTGTAATGTCTTTTGCTGTTTTAGGAAAACAAAATTCACATTGTCATCATATTTGATGGTGATCGAGGTCTACAATATCTGAATAGTCTTCTTAAATCTATTATCAACATATACAACTGTATTTCATTTCTTAATAACGACGATTTCATCAAATAGTCAGTTGTTGAATTTGATGAATACATGGAAATTACATGATATGGAATATCATTTTTATAGTTGTAGTGATTATTTGGTAAGTGTTCACATGCATTATAACTAACTGTGTTACGTCACTGTTCCTATAATGTAATAAGAGTTTTGTGGAGATAGGAATTTTTTATAGTTCAAATCACGAACTGATATTAGTTGGACAATGATTGAAAAGTTGATGGTTATCGACAGACATCTTGTCTTGATACAGCATTTCATAGCCTCAACCCAAGTGTTGGATCCAACACCTGCGATCTCGCACATGAATGCCTAACCTGTAGTCCGATAGATGGTGATTTCACAGTATTCTAGTTTGACTGAAGTTAGCATGAACATATTTGGACGTCCACTTAGTAGTTTAGAGGTCAAGCGTTCTCTCTCGAGATCCAAGTTCGTGCGTCGGATTTCGGATACGGTGTTGCGATGCACACTGCTGGAATTCCATACTTGGATGAAACAACGGTCCAGTACTTCCAAGTTTTCAATGGTTTTCGATCTTAGATTGGCTTGTGATTTCAATGTATTATGGTATTTAACTTGATTATGTGTGATTATTTGCAGGTAAATCTTCGCTGGATTAAGTCTAAACATCCTTCAGGCGCTAAACCATTTTTAAAATTGATGATTCCAACAATTCTTCCATCTACAATCAGTAAAGTAAGTCATAGTTGTGCTCCTTTTCTCAGTAAGTTTCATCGTATTTTTCATCAAATAATTCTGTATAAATTGACCTCAATATTTACGTGTTTGATTCGCGATTTCGTATGAAGAAAACAAGTTAGTGTCAGTGTTCAGTAAGTGATTCTTATTCTACTACCACCTTGATAAGTATATAGTCAAGTTGAAGGACTACATTCTCCGAGGAATTACGAAACGTGAGCACAGATAATAATGTAATACAAAAAAGCATAATACTAAATTATATAATGGAATTAATAACCGTACAAAACAGTGGAAGTGATCTTAAGGAGAATGTTTTCGAACACTGATTGAATGTGAATAAATGAGTCTAACTAAGAAGAATCGAAAAGTAGTCGGTATATATCATGTTTCTTAGTTTTCATTATTCCTTAACTGTGATCAATCTATGATGTGAATTATATGCAAATTCAATCATTCATCTAAATCAGAAAGTAATAACGTATGACTAATATCAATTGTAATACAAATACAATTACAGACTACTTCTGTTTGATTATTCTTATGAAATATCAAAGATATTTGTTGTTGAAAGTGCTATA